GATTTTTTATTTGACCACCTCTTCTCAAAATCCTTGAAAGCCCTAATGGCTGATGCCCTAATTACTAAACACACTTTTCTGCCAGACAGTTAGACTTGGATTAAAAACCATTCCATTTTAAGCATACACTTTGACATACGCCAAATAAGGAACACTCCTGACCAAGTAAGGTTAAGGATTCTGCAGAGTCGTGTTTGAATTAAAATTTTTCATAATTTTACTAGGAATGAACTACATAATTTATTTATTATCCATATCACTTATCAGAGTTGTTAACTTGAACAAAGATTTTGTTACCATGATTGGAAAACAAAAATACTGTAATATCATTCAAGCTGCTATTAAAATATTTTCTTTTACAGTTTTTCATTTTGCATAATCTATTACATTTTTGTTTACAAAAAGCAAGAACATTCATGAATAGTTCATGAACATTCCTAAATAACTTTTACAAATTATTCATGATTAGTTAATGAAAATCCATTAAACCACTGAACCTATTAATATCATTCATGAAGTTTTCTTGAAAGTTCAAGAATTATTCTTGATCATTTTACAGGCAATTAAAAAATCTAAGTTTGTTCATGAACAACAAATATTTCTTGAATATTCTTGAACTTGGTTTTCATGAATAAAATCCAAGAAATCATGAGTGTCCAATTTTAACTTCATGGGATCTTCATGAACAATTCATGAGCGGATTCAAGAATATAATTCATGAACATTTCTTCAAAGTTTAAGAATTATTCTTGATCATTTCGCAGGGGAAACAAATTAAACTTACTTTGTCTGGTTCTGCGGATTCAGACGATGTATCTTCAGTCGTCGTATCTAATCAAAAAATAAAGAAAACAATAAAGACGCAGAGCGCAAAAATAGATTTCCCTTGCGTTTTCCCTTATATTTTTTTATATTGATTTTGATACTTGTACAAAGTATAAATATATATGTAAAAGTCTACAGCAACCTTACACGCCTTGAAAATGGCGAAAATCGAATAGAAGAGAGCTAGCAGATCTTAATGTCGTTAATTTAATTCGTAGTCACATCCTCTGTAAAATTGCCCAAAAATTGAGAAAATATTACAAGTCCGAATTGAGAATTGTTACATAGGTCATATTCTATACCATATGTTTATATTAAACTTCTTTAAAACAAAATCAACATTAGAAGATAGACTGTATTCAAAGCAGAAAGATATCTTTAAAAATCCTAGATCTAACGCATTGGTTTACCGTACAAAATTTGTGTTGTACTGAGAAAAACTCAGGAAAAAAGTTTTAAAATGTCAAAATGCTAGAAGTGTGTCTAAAAATGAGCAATGCATGTTTTTATACATTACACGGGGGGGGGAATTTGAATGAGATTCTGTATCAGAGGAAACAATGTAAAATCACGGATTGTCTGCAAAATAGCTGATCAAACCCTTTCAAAAATTAATTAGATCCTTCAACAAAAATCAATGTATGTTTTTAAGTATACAAATGTAAATCTAGGTGAAAATGCTCGGTACAATATAATTTTCTAGACACTCTTATCAATTTAGAAAGTGTATAGGATTTGTGCAGAAAGTTTATCAATTTTTGGAACATACTCTTTTTAATATTTTGAATTATTTATTTTAAATTAAATAGGATATCCCCTTGTTGTTTTGATTATGTGTGTTATAACATGGATTGGAAAAGAACAATGGCGTCATTATGTGTACATGCCGTACAAGGTATGAATAAAAATATTTATTTAAACTTTCTGTGTACAGGCTATAAGATATACAGGTAAAGCTTTTTTGTAGCCCATTAGCATAGAAACACCTATTCCAAGCCTTAACTTACTTTTGTATATTGAATAATGTTTTTGGGGGGTAAAGTGTAAAGTTTACAATTTTCTGCATCGCATTGACATGCAGCGCGCGATAAAAGACATTTGCTTTTTGATTATTTCAACCTGAATTCCTATTCTGATTAATCTAAAACGGTACTAATCCTTTTCATATATGATCTGTGCTTTAAATTTCTGCTCAGCACGGAAAAATGAGTGCGAATAAAAAAAATGGATATTGACCCCATGACCTTGTGAAAGAAAGCTGAGTGCATATCATCAATTTTCGACCAGAGTTCAGTATTGATGATTTCCATTTGTATGTTGCATGAATATAATTTTTTCCTACATAAATTTGATTTAGCAGTCTAGTTTATTCATCATCTCAGGAGTTCTTTTGTCAATACATCGACCTTGACAGCAAATACAATTTATCAGTAAGTCAGGTGCTAACAGAATTTTTCAAAATGATTTTTAGATTATTATTTACACACGGATCATTTGTCGAATGATTTTTCCTTTTTCCACCGAGCATTTGAAGGAGCTTGCAGTGGGTGTAACCGGTCTCAAGGGGAATGCCTACTTCTCATGAAAACTGATCCCACCTCTGTTGTTTTGTCTGTCTGCTTTTGCTCTGCTCCTATTTTATAATGTTATATGGAGTTTTGAGTTAAGCCCAACTAATGTATGTCATCTCCGCGTATCTCATCTTGTATTGAGAGAGTAATTTTGTTTGTATGTTTGTTGTTAGCATGCTTCTAGAATTTTCCCTCATACAGGTATCTCTTGATGGCGCAAACTTCGATCTCTCGACGTTCTTGATCGTTCGAAGTGAGTCTCCAGTCCCGAGGTTTTTCCTGTATAACTAAGCAAATTTACTCTTGATTTCTCAAACTCCTTGATCCCTCGAAGTAAAATTGCAGTCCTGCTGTGCATATTCTATTGAAATTTACCCTTGATACCTCGAAGTGGCTACTTGTATAGACTAAATTACATACTAAGCAACTTTAGCAGAATGAGTACATATTATATAAATAATTCTGCAGTAGGGATATAATTATTTAGCGTCATCTGAACATTAAGGCCACCTTTGAAAGGTTTGTTACAAATCGAGGGAATGACGTCTTACTTATCGATATTTTATAGATTTAGAAAAAAATGAGACTTTCAGAAACTCAAAATTGTGGTGATGCGTTGAAAAGAGTTGCAAAAGCAGCTGTTAAACCGACCTCGGCGAATTATTTGTTTATTTTAATAAAAAAACATCCTGTTTAAAGTCTTACTTTCACCTCCCCGTGGTACATGTAAGCAGGAGGAACGGGTCTTATGCATGTACATGTGTAGGTTGTACTGTACACGCATAAGTGGCTGGCTAACGAAAGAGGCAATGTAGCGGTTATGTATACTTTTTTATTTAGTGGTAACGTAAGGTTTTTTTGTAGCGATAATGACTATGTAGCGATGATGAAAAGTTTGAAAATATAGTGGTAATGATACGCATCCAGATGGACATTTAATGACCCTAAGCAGAACACGCGGGTCTCGTTAAACGGGATGTTTATTCAGGTGACACTTATTCTGCAAGGTGATAATTAATTTATAATTAATCTTATGGTGCATATATTCTATCAAAGTAATTATCATCATCTTTATTACGATAACTCAGAAACGTAGTGTCGTTGAGAAATTGAGACAAAACACTTAATGAATTAAATTTTTATTTCGAATGAGTTTCAAAGTTTAACGGAAAATTCAGAAACAGCCTCTCTGTCAATATGACGAATTTTGTTGGACAAATAAATACAGAATTTCATTCAATCAACATGTTTTAAAAAGTCACAATGCTATGTACCACGCAAAGCTGGTTAAATTCCGTTTTCATTTAACGAATCCATAGAATGATATCCGTATGATAAAAAAAAAGAACACAAACTGACGATGTACATTTTCGGCCTTACTCAGTTTAATAAATATTAATCTAAAATACGAAAACATATCGTTGTTTTGTAAAAACCACGAGTACTGCATGAGAATCATTACATCCAGTATGACTAATTTTAAAACCTATCAAACAAACCTGGACCAGAAAATTCGGACTCTTGAAAACTCGTACTCTTGTTCTCGCAAAGTTTTTCCTCGGTCCCGCGGACTGCGAGGTATCAAGAATTACCTGTATAAAGAAGCCACTGCTTGCTGGTGGAAATTAAAGCTGCATAATTTTGACCCATACAAAGCACTCACTGAGCACTCAATATGGGATCTTTTTCGCACAAGCACCAACTGCGACACTGGACCTCCGTTTACAAGCCTAGCACGAAAAATTGGTCTTCAAGTTTTGCAGTTGTATTTCAAACCCAGGACGTAAGGATAAAGTCCCTTTTCCGCGACTGTAGCAGATGTTCTGGCCCCTGCGTCATTATTTTAAAATGAAGTTAACAATTGTAAAGAACTATAAAAGAAATTACAGACAGTGATTAGTTAACTGTTAATTTGGCATAGATTCATACCAGATACAACACTTGTCTAAATATCTTATATCACCATTTTTTTTTTACTTTTTTTGCAACTAATTGGCAGAAGAATTTGTTTTAAATGTAGTTAGGTTTCCATAGTTTGATTTTGTTTAAACATGACGTGATTGATTGATTGTTCATTTTCAAGCTTATGTTCATCTTTGGTTCAAAAGAAACATTAAAATGAAGTTTTTGGAGTACTCTGAGTTGTTGTAAAGTGTGCTTTATTTCATTACAATGTGTATTGGTAACAATTCTATGATGAAACTAATGTTCAAATAACTGTATCTCACTTCTATTTTCAATGACCGTGTAGTGTAGGACAGCGCAGCGAGAATTTCACTTGCCTAGATAGCCGAGCTGTCTAGCGTGCTGTTCCTGCACTGCTAGGAGACAGATTCCGAAGTTCGAGACTTCTACCCCGGGTTGGGACAGAAGTGGTAATCCGTATAAAAGTGAATTTCTCTCTCTCTCTCTCTCTCTCTCTCTCTCTCTCTCTCTCTCTCTCTCTCTCTCTCTCTCTCTCTCTCTCTCTCTCTCTCTCTCTCTCTCTCTCTCTCTCTATATATATATATATATATACAATCCAAATTTAAATGATAAACTCAAACTTTTATATAAAGCACTTTCGCCCCATGCGGGCTCATCTGTAGATTTGAAATATATAATTTATATATCGTACGAATTTATACCTTTGCAATTTCCATTGTAGCTGTACTTAAGATCTGCTGAATGAAGTTTCTCGGTGGAAGCAGAAGTAACACAGCAGTTCTCTCTTCCAATTTTTCCTCTTTAGAATTAGAAAAACAAAATTACTTAAAATTCATTTAAATAGAGAAACAAAGTGCAATTCTGTCAAGGCATATATAAGTCATACTAAAGCCACTAGGAAGATAAATGCAAAGACGCTATCATTGACTAGGTCTAGATATAGCAGGTATTGTTCTCCATTACAATTTGAATTAAAACAATGCAGAATATTATTAAGGGAGCTTAGGGACTGGCTCAGTATGTCTGTATTTGTGTAGAATTCAATCATTTTTATCGGAAATGCCCCAGGTAGGCGTTTGGTACTGTCAAAGAACCGCACATCAAAAGTGACAACATTGTCACCGCTTTACTACCGCGTCTCTTTCCCTATATAATAACCTTTTATAACATATTCATGTAGAACGAAAAGTCTTTAAGCGGTATAATGACTACTTTTTTGTCCACGGAATCAAAGCTTGACGGATAAATATATCATCATGTTCTAGAACAGGGAGATATCTGCAGACTTAGAATCATCGAATATTTTCAAACGTCATGGTTTTATATGTTTGATATAACGTCCAGGCTATGAAATAAATTTTAATTTGCATTATTTCTACAGAAAAAAGGTATAAATTGCGTTGATATTTTGAATTATAGAATCACTGACCGCTGGTTTGTTCTAATAGATACTCAATATTTTAACATAATGTGGGGAATGATAATGTCAGTGATATATGTAAATATTGTCCTGGAGAAGGTCTGTGCTCAATAAATTTTATATTAAGATTGAGCAATTCTGTCCATTTTGTCCTCTTTCTGACAAATTAAACAACATTCCCACTAGTTTGTGGCGTAATTAAAAACAAAAAAAAATGTCAATAACCTACTTTGAAACCATATGATTTTTTACAGGTTTAGATTTTTCATTCAATATTGTACACATGGAATTTTTCGCCCCCGTTAAATTTTTAGCCCTTTCACCCTTGTCACAAGTGGGCTAATTTAAAACGGGTCGAAATCAAAGAACAGGGAATGGATTCTTAAACAGAACTGGGACTGGGCGAATTCAAAAGGGGGCTAAAAATAACACGGGGCGAAAATAACCATGTACATGTATACAATATCTATACATCAGCACATACATGTATCACAAACATTTCGAAATAAAGACTTTTGTTGGAGCAATAATATACATTTTATCGTTCAGTTCCTAGTGCAAATGTACAAAACAAAATTTTTATGGTAAAACATGAAATACATGTATGATCCGGTCCCTTAATAATAGGTCGGTTGTGAAACATTGTTTTAATTTTTTTTCTTAGTACAATTTCTCTTTCATGTCTGTATTATAAGAATGAAGAACACTATAATAAGTATAGTGTACTGTAAGTTCTTAAAGTAATTCCAGACTGAGATAAACATGAAAAGAGGCAAATACTAACAAGAGCAGCTGAATGAGGGGGAACAAACATTTAAGACGACAATTTTCGACGAAGCTTTAGCTAAGTTCTCTGAATCTAATATGAACAAATATGACATTGCTTATCAAATCATTTAAGGGGGATGTACAAGCCAATTTGATCTAGTCTGGTATGAAATAAGAAATGCCAAGAATGTGCTTCATACTCGTCTAATGTTTGAGTGTTAATGCACTAGTAACCTACTGTAAGAGACCAAAATTAGTGAATAATTAAGTTTATTTTGTTTTAATTAGGAGGAAATTAATCATGGTAGAACTGCGCAGCTACAGCATTCACTAGATGAAAAATGCATTGAAAATGGTATTAGTTTGATTCTTTGATAATATGGCTACAACCATTTGTTTCCCTTTTTTCTTGTCATTTTCTAAAATTCTTGAAAATTTGATTTTTCATATGTGTGTCTTCCTGAGGCCATGTGTTTATTTTGTCCGCCATTCCTCTGTCACACAGAGTTCGAATAACATTGATTTTAGAATAAATGCGACCATAATAACATCAAGACAAGAAATTACTAACTTATAACCATTAGGTAATATTACTTACTACTTTTATTTGTTGCATCGCTTCGTCTGATTAATGAAAAAACGCGATTTTAACCCCACTCCAGCAAATCGGGAAAAACTGTTCTGTTTGCAGCTCGAGTTTCCTAGCAAATATTATTACACTGAGCACGTGGTTGGTTTGTGCATATATCTGCTGTGGATAGATGCGTTTATTACAATGATTATATTTAATTTTTCGCAAAACAAGTCTTGATAATTTGTTGGTTTCTTTGAAACTCAAGAAAAAAAGCTAAAAATGCCCTAAACATATGTGTTTACGTCGGATCTTTTTTTCTGTGGCGATAGAAATTATTTTGAAATGAGGCACTGCAAGGAGGATGCTTAGCATTTAATTTGAAAATGTTAAACAATATGCGGTGCAAGAAAAAGAAATTGCAATTACATATCTTACATTCGAAAAGTTGGTACATATGTCTTCTTTGTTTAGCAGTTAGATAGAAAAAATAGGCAGTTAAAGTATTTCCTTCAGGCACCTCATGTAAATAGCTTGATTGTTTGCAATGACCAACACATTGTATGGAGTAATGTTTGGACATAAAAACGCATCATGTCTCATTATGTTGACTACGTTGTAAGCTCTCACTTATTGAACATACAAAGCTTGATAAAATATATTGAGTTGTTTCTTTGAAATTTAGAAGCAATCACAATGTTTGCAAACAAATGTCCATTGCATATGTTATGTCTATCTTCGCAAAAAATGAGAGACCACCCCCCCCCGTTCCGAAAATCCTATGTTCTTTTTTGAAAATAGTGCCAAAGCTTAAAAAAATTTGCATTACAAAGTATGTGATTGAACATTTGCTAGCCTTATAAGACCATTTGTTATAAAAATATTTGGTTGCCCTCTCTCCCGATCTACTGCCTAGAAACGGTCCGACTAAATTTTATTTTACATCCAATTACAGGATATTTTTTTTCTTCCGTCAACAAATATGTTTAAATTTTTAGGATTTTTTTTCTACCCATAAATACGGACCCAATAATTTTCCCTGAGTAGGGAGGTCCAATAAACGTCATTTCAAAGATGGTATAAAATATTTAATTATGTTGATTTTTTTTTCTCTGTAAAATTGTAATTTTGACAAAATGGGCAAATAGAAAAAAAATATATTATTCATTAAATCTTCTAACCCACTCTAAATGATTTTATTTCTTTTCAAATGTTGCTCCGCTGTAATGAAAATTGTAAATGTTTATTTGAGAGAGTATACAGGAGGGGGGGGGGGTGATCAAAAGTAAACGATATCTTTGGTATTTGATACTTATATTATTGTTGAAATATTCAAGTATTTTTCAAAGTGTAAATTGGTGATCTTTGATAGCATATTGCTTATGGCATATTGCTTAATTAAAAACAAACCCCTTTTCAAATTTGCTTTCACCGGGCAACATAACAAGTATCATATTCAACCATCTGCCTTCCTTCACTAAAACGATCTATACAATCATTGATTGAATTATAAGGAAGTCATTTGTCTAAATAAACTATGAACAAATTCTTATACGTTACTTCAAAGGCAATTTTAAGATATACCATCAATATTTTAGTCGTTTAATTGTTGAATGAGTTCCACTGAGACAACCATTTTTCGTCACAAGTACCTGCATAATGACTTCATTTTCACATTGTGAGCAAAACTTTATTCAGCATATGCTATTTATAGAGTGTGCACCAAATTTGTTTCTAATCTAAATTGTGGTTTGGATATAGAGATAGTTCGAGAACTTTTTAATCACCCCTCTTACTAGTTGATACTAACACAAGGTTTTTTATAACGATTTTATGTGTTTAATTTCTTTGTGTTTCATTGGTGATAATTAAACTTTTGATAGATATTATAAGTTATCTGTGGCAAACTGACAAACTCTTAATTTTAAACTTTGACGGGCCTCATTTTTGAAAGAGTTTATTTCAATACGTACACTATTGAACAACTGTTCGATAATAATACTAAATAAATTACTTCAAGCCACACTATAACACAATTCCTCTTTTAAAAGTGTTCATATTATTTGAAATATTTTGCAACTGTAATTCTCTTCTACATTTAAAGATTGTTATGTTTTGAACTTAAATTTATCAATTAAAAGTGCAAAATTTAGACATTTTCTCGACAAATGGTTGTCGAGAGAACATTAATGCACAGTTTGCGTATTTTTTGGATTTTTTAAGGCTCTGCTGAATTCTGTAGCTGCGCAGTTCTAAGGAGCATATCAAAAGCATTTTTCTGCAAAAGTATAGATTATATATGCACAACATGCATTCAGTTATGCATATTTATTGTGTCTTTATCATAAGGGTTTAAAATTTGATCAAAATATAATGTACTTTAGCCATTTAAAGAAATGTTTACATTTTGTTCTCACTGCACTAAAGGTGGCCGTACATCCCCCTTAAGTGCATTATCAATTTTTACCTCACTCTTGACGCTAGATGGGGATCATCAAGGATAACCACCCGTCTGCATTTGCTTAACGAAGTAGAAAGTTCCTGAAAGAATATAAACAAAAGATAATGTTATGGGGCAATCAGCCTATAAAAATCAACCTCAAATCTAAGATGTCTGCTTCATCTGAGATATTCCTATAACGCTATGCCACTAACAATTCTTACATTCGTCTTCCATAAGCTGAGAGTTTAAAAAAGTCTCTGATATTCCTAAGTATATGTAATTTTTTTTGGAATAATGCACGTATGTTTAATCATTGATTGTCTGACGTCATGACGTCATTGCAAGTACGGTACAATATTCCGTAGGGGCTTATTTACGCAATTGTTCCATTAAGGGGGCAGAGGATAGTTCCCGATTAAGTACCGGTCAAAAAAAAGAAAACAAACACTGAGAAACCATAGGTTTGAATGCATATTATATGTTATTTTTAATAGCTAGAATATATTATGGATACATTTGGAGGAAATTGGTGGCCTTGTTATTTATTGAAATCTGACACTATTGAGTCACTACTAACTGTATATATGAAAATTTTATAAGGAAGCCGTGGATACGCTACTTAGATGACTGTTTCGTAATATGGTACAAAAGTGAGGATCAAAAGTGAGGAAAACCGTTCAATAATCTTCTAATCTTTTTGTTCGACGTTTTTCGTCCGTAACTATTGTGCATATTCTTCTTGCACAATAGTTACGGACGAAAAACGTCGAACAAAAAGATTAGAAGAATTAAGTGTTTTTCTACGCCGCCAAAAATATCCAAAAAATCTTATAGCCGAAGCGATAAGAAAAGCCGAAGCAATCCCAATTACAGAACTTAGGAAAGTGAACAGAAAGAATGAATCCGATAATATGTACACAGAAATTCCGTTCGTTGTCACTTACAATCCAAAAAATCACAACATCTTCAACACAACGAAACAGTGCCTGCCCATACTTCAACAATCAAAAAATCTCAACGACCTTATTGCGGAGAAGAATTTAATTTATAGTAGAAGACAACCGCCAAATTTGAAAAAAATCCTCACCAAAGCCAAATTCACTTCTACAAAGGAAATATTTACAGTTTCCAAATGTGACGATCCACGCTGTGGAACTTGCGATTTTATACAAAGTGGAGAATCACTCACATTCAAAACGGGAATGGATTTTAGAGTTCAACATAATATGAACTGCAAAACCAAGAACGTCATATATTGCATGACTTGCCGTGGTTGCAGAGAAAATTACATTGGTCAACCAGGGAATAAAATATCCGACCGTGTAAGAGTGCACAAACAGCAGATAAGGGACCCTTCCGTAAGAAATACTCCGTGTAGCGAACATTTTAAACAATGCGGTAAAGGACGTTTCAGTATCTTTCCGTTATATAAAGTTACCGAGGAAAATGAACAGTTACGGCGGGCCAAAGAACAATATTTCATTGATAAATTTAAGCCTAAACTAAACAGATAATGTTCTGATTTAATCAATGACTGTTAATATTGTTTTTTAAAATTTATTAATTATTGATTATTATTGTGTAAATATGTATCATTTACAGTGTCAAGTCTATTTACGCTTGCGCTTTCTACAGACATTTTTTGCGCCAAATTTTATCGTTGTCCTTTAACTATGACGTCATATTAACGACGTTATCATGTCATGTTGCTATTGTTATTCAAAATCCACTGAAGAGCCGAATGGCGAAAGCGCTATGGAATAAAATGTGATCATCTTTTCCAAACTCTGGATTATTTTTCTATATGTACATACCTATACCAAGGACATCTTGAATTATAATATATATATATATATATATATATATATATATATATATATATATATATATATATATATATATATATATATATATATATATATGATTGCGCCCATGACAAAAGGGCCTTATGGCATTTTTGCTAAAACAGAGAAATAACGTCACAAAGATGTGACGTTGCAGACGGTGAACTTCGACGCAGATTTTATTTTAACCACGTGTTTTGACGTTTGACGCATCCAGAGTTTTTATCGCTGCTTCCAACATGTAGAATTTATTTTTATTTATAAATTAATTTAATTAATATCTGAATCTTTCAATCCACTGATTTTGATAGATATAAATAAAAACATTTAGAACTGGTTTGAATTCTTAACAAACATATCTATTATACGTCTCTGATACCAATACAGTTTTCCGACATCATGCATGCACCATGTACATGTATAGAAGCTGTCGACAAGGTGTTTATCTGATAGGATAATAAACCTGTGTACTCTAGAAAAATAAATTTTATTTACATATTTATACTAGATTTAGGATACATGTAAGACAGGGGTATATTGTTAAAATATTGCAAAGGAAAATTGCCTTCCTTTTTTGAGATCCGCTCCACCACTCTCAATATGCATCGCGATCGAGTCGATCAAATGTAAACATTGATTCATCAGTGCATACTGCTTACACTTTTGTTAAATTGTTTATGCTAATGCTGAAACTAAACATATACATCTTCCACGTTGTTACAAATCTAGCAAAATGTGTTAGAACAACAGTTAAGATATTTGTATTTTCTATAAATAAAAAATAGGAGAGATAACTCCAATGTCAACAATCGATGTAATAGGGGTACCAGAGAGGGACTTTTAACATTTCAGCGAATTTGTTCCTGGGTTATAAAAGAGATCTTTTATTACCAAATAAAAACACTTATAATTGTCGGCATAATTTTAATATTTTAAATAAAAAATATATCGTTGTAATTTGGGAACAATTAGGTCCTGTTAATGTAGAAAAGGAAAATCAAAGAAAAAAGGAAAACTGTAAAATTGTACAGACTTTCAATTTTTTTTTCCAAATATCTTATCTATGGTTTTTTTTTTTGGCATGAATTTATTTAATAACTAATTTCATTTTTTTAAATAATATACATGTATAGTATCTACCGCATTAAATAAATAAAACTTTAAAAATGTTGTTTTGTTTTATTTTATTGTTGCACAAAGATACTTCAATTTAGAAAAATTAAAACAAGCAAAAACATCCGAATAAAAAAACTGTTCTAACTTAAATAGAGTTGGTCAAGTAAATCTGATGAGAGAGAGATAGCGAGAAATAGAGAGAGAAGATGGAGGGTGGATAAAAATATTTATATTGAATCTTTGTATCTAATATTGAGAAATGTGAAACTCTATTGAAAAAGATGAGCTTTCAAATCAAACAAAATAATAAAGTAGTGTACTGTAAAATGAAAGATTTTTTTTAAAGTTCTCTAAACTACATGTATGACTATTTATTTTTCAAGATCTCCAAATTTGATATAATGTAACTCTATGGTACTTAGGTTTTGTTTTGTTTTTTTTTTTTTTTTTTTTTTTTTTTACACAGAGATCAAATGTTTTAAACATTATCTGCAAATTAATCCCTAACGCCATCAAGAACTTTGTCTTTCACAAAAGCTCGATCAGCATTGAATGTCTTTAACAGATTAATTATCATGCTAAAAAACCCAATTCATCACTGGACTTAACTCATTGCTGTTAACAGTGTGGAATATATTGTTTAACCTCTTATCAAATTATGGATAAATATTATTACATATGCACATAATATGATTTTTATTTGTTTAATTGATTAAAAAAATCCTTTTCAGTTCAGAATCGGGCTTTATTTTTACATGTAAATGCTGATAGAAAAAATTTGATGATGATAATACACGACATAAAACCGCAACAATATGCTTGCATTTTGTTTTATTTTGGCCACAGTGCAGGGGATGGGGGCGGAGTTGTCCGTTTATATTTCCGTAACATGTAAGGCTTTACAAGGCTTAGCATATCACAGCTGCTGACATGGTACAAGAATGGAGTTCATACTCGATCTCTAAAACCCACTTCATAAATAAAATTAGAAAACAAAATCTTAGAATGATGGGAATTTTTTTTACAATTCAGTCATAAAAAAATATGATGAATTTTCTAAGATGCTTACATCCCTACAAAAATCTGACATTTCAAAACTCAGCCAGTTCAGAGACAATTGTCAGGAAATATATTATACAAATATATTATACAAAACAGTCATATCTAACTGACTGTATATCTAGGCATGAACTATTACCGGTATATGTAATTTTTAACCCACACCTACCCCAAAAAAATCTATACATTAAACTGCATGATTCATTTTCAATGGACCTTCAGATATCCGGACCCCAGATATTCGGATGCTTCAGTATCCGGACGACTTTTCATTGGAACGAAATTTGTAAATGTTATTTTGTCTTGTTTAACTGGTGATTCAGGTATCCGGACACTTCACATATCCGAAGAAATTTACTGGGAACCAAAGCGTCCAGATAAATGAGGATCCACTCTATATTGATTTGTCTACTGGATTTTTTTTTTAATTAATGAGGAATAAATCGACGAACCACTTTGTTCGAAATTCTTAATAATTTTTTGTAAATGTCATCTTTAATTTAATTCTATACGTATGCTTCTTAAACCATCCATTTCATAAAATAAAACCAGATTCTGTTCTTCTAGGGTGTCATTATATACATGATTAACAAGACTGAATTTATAACAATTCGGTTCCATACTCATAGTGCTCATAATCGCTTTGCGATTTTGAAAATGGCAATGCTCAGAAACAAAGGTACAAATACAAAATGAAGAATATTATGCAGTATTATTTCAAACCTAAATAAAAAAGTGAAATTACATGTTGTAGGGTTAATGGTACTGGGTGTAGGAGAGACACCCCGCCTGTTCAACTAAACTTTTGAAGTAAAAAAAATTATTTATTTTAACTGGATCGTGTTCACAAGAATTGTAAGTTTCTGCCATTTAGATTTTACCCCCCCCCCCCCTCACCAACACACACATAATCCCATCAATTTTAATCCTGGGTCTATCTTTTGTGTAAATGTGTGCGGGTTATAATTCATTCCTTTGTTTATAAAATTTTTCATCTTTTTCATAGGTAAATATTAAAATATTTTTACTGTTAGACTGAAAAATATTTCGTGTATCCTTTATATTTTTCAAACAACAGT